ATACTGAGGTAAACTGGGACTCAACTGGAGGATCCCACTCTCGTCAGCACAGCTATTTACTTTGAATAAGTTGCAACTCTCGAGATCCTGAGGACCCATAAGGATTATATCAAATTTTGAAATTCATGTTGCAACTAAGAGGTCATCATGAAATAACATGTAATTTTTGTTGCTAAATTACCTGGGTTTTATATAATAAACTATACATTTAAAAAAACATTGTAAAACTCTGGTGAGTTCTTTGAATACTATTTTTTAATGACAGCTGAATATCGTGAGGAGAAATGACGTTAAATCCCAATCTTTGTCTTAACACTTTATATGTAATATGTAAATATTATCAGCTATATACATTAAGAATACACAAATTTAGGGGCCGGCCCCATGGCGTCAAGGTTAAGTGCAGGTGCTCTGCTGCTGGCGGCCTGGGTTCGGATCAAAGGCGAGCACCAAGGCACTGCTTGTCAGGCCATGCTGTGGCGGTGTCCGATATAAAGTGGAGGAAGATGGGCACAGATGTAAGCCCAGGGCCAGTCTTCCTCAGCAAAAAGAGGAGGATTGGCATGGATGTTAGCACAGGGCTGATCTTCCTCACACACACATAAAAAAACCCCACAAATTTAGAAATTAAGACAAAGATGAAACATATTTTTAAATGTTTTGCTAAGTATGATGACCACATGCTATCAGTTAGTATATCAGATCAATACACTCTTAGGGCAAGGTTCATCGTACTGACAGTGGGTCCAATCCATATTTCAGTCTTCTTGATTTTTTTTTTGGTTGAATTTTTTCATGATTAGATCATTGCATTTACTTGGTGTTGTAAAGTAAACTCTTCTTTGAAGAGTTTGAAACTCTTGAACCAAGTTCAAGAGTTACATTGAACTCTTGGTAACAAGAGTTCATAGCTCTGTTATTTTCTTTGTTTGCTTGTTCTTGCATTATCGGGTATTAACTTCAATCAGTAGTTTCTTTGTAAGAATCTTTTTAAGCCACTTATCAACTTCACGAAGGTTAGTGGAAACTAGCAGATATAAATTCCACAAACCCAGTACATATAAAGTACAGTCTGTAGCAATTTGCTGAAAAGTCCCTTTGTTCTCTCCTTTGGAGGGCAGAACTCCCACCTTCCCCTCAGGATAACTTAATTACCATAAATTCTGTGACTACTTGGTATCCACCAAGTGAGGGAAAACCCCACTTTCTTTCTGTACTTTAAAATTAGCAAAATTGAATTTTATTTTTATTAAACATGAAAATAAATATATATATATATGTTTAAATATTTTTCTCTTTCACTCCAATGAATGGTCTTGCACATTCCCTGAGTTGTGTGTATCCCATTTGGGGGACCATCATGTTAGAAAATGAGACTATTCTCTGATAACCAAATTTTTAAGAAGAAAAATGGCAAATATGATCAGTAATAGGGAAGAGAAAGAGAAAAATGAAGGGTAAGACTCAATTTATTTCTACTAGAATATTTCTGTCTAGCCCCTAATTAAGCAGGCCTTGCCAATGTCCTCTCTCTCTGAAATTAAACAAATTTACATTAATATGCAGACTGACAGTGCATTTCCTTTAAAACCCAATATGAAGTACCTTCCTCTCCACAGTATCATTAAGGTCTACATTCAATTGAAGCAGCAAGTGGATGACTGTAAATACACCCTGTTGTACACTAAGTTCTGCGAGTCTCTAGGCTTCCATCATGCCAATATCCTGCAACCTCTTTTCCTTTTTCATTTTTTTCTAATTTGTTTCTTCCACCATATTAACCCTTCACATGGATAAATTCCTATTCTTTCCATGTTTTTGTCTTTGTATACATTTTCTATGCCACCTTGTCCCCTGAAGTCCTCATGATACTTTCAAAAAATGTCTGAATCTGTTCCATTGGGTGTATCAAAACTGAGTTCCCTTCAAAGTACAGGCATACAGTAAAATTACTGTATTCATTATTTTCTTTTTTCATGAAATAATACATGTCATACTTTAGATTTTAAAAAATCCCTACTGTTTACTTCAAGCATAATTAGAAAGTAGCTCTGAGAAAAGATCTAAAAGGATAATTTTATGGCATCTTACAGTACTTATCACATACAACATGATAGGTAATGCAACACAGTGGTTAGCACGGGCTGTGGAGTCAGACCTGGATTCAAAATCTAACTCTGGAACTTACTAGCTGTACCATCTTAGGCTTTGTTACTTTCCTATGGACTTGCCTGACATACAAAATGGAGCTAACAATACTTTAACATATAATCATCTACAGTGCTTATTATGAGGCTAGCACACACACAATTAGCTTTATTTCCAATGGAACTTTGGTCATACATTTTAACAACGAATACCACATTTTCTTGATTCTAGTCCAAGTAACGGCAACAGCTAAGATGACAGTGGTTTGTATGCACTGCAGCTCCTAAGGAATTCAGGCAACAATTTTCAAATTAACAAAATGTAAGGAAAACTTCACTCCTTGCTTCTAGCAAAAAATTACGATGAATAAGAAATAGCTCTGGGGGCTGGCCCGGTGGCGCAAGCAGTTAAGTGTGCGCACTCCGCTGCGGCAACCCGGGGGTCACCCGTTGGGATCCCGGGCGCGCACCGACGCACCCCTTGTCAGGCCATGCTGTGGCGGCGTCCCATATAAAGTAGAGGAAGATGGGCATGGATGTTAGCCCAGGGCCAGTCTTCCTCAGCAAAAAAAGATGATTGGCAGATGTTAGCTCAGGGCCGATCTTCCTCACAAAAAAAAAAAAGAAATATCAGCTCTAAGACGGGAGAGCAAAACTATTGTTATTCTCTACCATAAATGTATCAAGCAAACAATTTCCAAATATTTGTGGACTTTTCAGATGTTATTTTTAGTCTAATTTCTTTGTTATCTGAGAATATACTTTGGGTGATTTCAGTCCTCTTAAATATATTGTTTTATGGCCAAGAACATAGTCTGTTGTGGTAAATTTTCCATGTGCACTTGAAAAGAATGAATGCTCTACTGTTTTGGGGGGACTGGTCTACATTCTATCAAGTTAGTAGAGTGGTATGCAAGTCTTCTATAGCCTTACTAATTTTCTCTCTTCTTTTTCTATTAATTACTGAGAAAGGAGTGGTGAAATCTCCAACTATTATTGTGGATTTACCTATTTCTCCTTTTAGTTCTACTTGTTTTTGCTTCATATATTTTGAAGCTCTGTGCGTATGCATTTAAGATTTTTGTGTCTTAATGAACTGACTCTTCTATTACTATGAAATGTCCCTCTTTATGATATTCTTTATTCTAAAATTTCTTTTGCCTGATATTAGTCACTTCAATATTCTTTTCATCAGTGTTTGCACAGTGTAGCTTTTTCTGTTCTTTTACTTTTACTTTCTTTTTTAAAATTTTTATTTTACTTAATTTTTTTGTGAGGAAGATCAGCCCTGAGCTAACATCCATGACAATCCTCCTTTTTGCTGAGGAAGACTGGCCCTGGGCTAACATCTGTACCCATCTTCCTCCACTTTATATGGGACACCGCCACAGCATGGCCTGACAAGCGGAGCCTCAGTGCGCACAAGAGAGCCAAACCCCGGCCTGCCAGCAGCGGAGCGCACGTACTAGACCGCTACACCACAGGGCAGGCCCCTACCCTGCGTCTTAAAAGATTTTCATGTAAACAGCTTATAGTTGGGTCTTGCTTTTTTTGCCCAAGCTGACATCTGTCTCTTAATTGTAATGTTTTAGTCTACATATTAGACCATTTACATTTCATATAGTTATTGATATGATTAAGGTCAAATCTATTATCTTGCTATTTCTTTATCCTATTGCTCTCTGTTCCTCCTTACTCTTTCCTTATCTTCTTTTGCATGGAGTCCTTTTTATGATTCAGTCTCACCACATTCCATTTACCACTATCAGCTTTTTAGGAATTCCTCTGTCTCATCTATTTAGTGATTTCTCAAGTTTATAGTACAAAGAAACTTACAAAGAAACAAATCACCCAGCAGTCTTATATATGCTTTGTATTCAAGCAAAAATATTACCCCTCTTAAACAAGCTGAGTTTTAAGGCTCAACTTTAGATTTAATTAAAATTTAAAAATTCAATGACGTGGGGGGAAAGTCTAGTTTATTGCTAGAAATACAGAAGAAAATATCAAATTTTTTACAACATGGGAACAATGAGGACTAAGGCAAGAGTAGAAAATATCACACTTAAGAAAAATGAACACGATATGTCGATATGTCAACCAGAACTGGGCAGCAAGTATTTTATAGTATAATCCAGGTCCCTCTAAACCACCTGCAGAGGATGGTAAAAGCAGCAAGGCCAAGCCCCACTTAAAAATCTGTTAAAGTACGCTCAGGTTCATAGCAGCATTATTCACAACAGCTAAAATGTGGAAGCAACCTAAGCGTCTACTGATGGATGAATGGATAAGCAAAACACGGTATATACATACAGTGGAATATTATTCAGCCTTAAAAAGAAAGGAAATTCTGACACATGCTACAACATGGATTAACCTTGAGGACATTATGCTAAGTGAAATAAGCCAGTCACAAAAAGACAAATTCTGTATGATTCCACTTATATATGAGAGGTACTTAGAGTAGTCAAAATCATAGAGACAGAAAGTAGAATGGTGGTTGCCAGGGGCTGAGGAGAGGGGAGAAGAGGAGTTATTGTTTAATGGGCATAGACTTTCAGTTTTAAAAAATGAAGAGTTATGGATATGGATGGTGGTGATGGTTGTACAACATTATGAATGTATTTAACACCACTGACTATACACTTAAATCAGTTAACATGGTAAATTTTATCACAATTTTGAAAACAAAAAACCCTATTAGAACATATCCATTTGTTTAAATATATGCTGGCTGTCTGCCATATGCAGAATGCACTGCTGCTGGTACTCAACCCCCCATGTATTCCAAACCAAATCTGATATGGTTTGAGACACTTTTTTTTTTTTAAAGAATGACAAAAAGAGACTGGCACATGTCTTCTTACTTTATTAAATTTTACTAGTATTCTTTAAGGGACAAACACACAGACAAGTAGGCTACAGTGAAGAAATCTTATTTTTATAAGCGAGTTAAGAAGCCACTAATATACTTCCAGGTATTATGTTCAGTGATGCTTCTTATCTTTATTCTGGGACTCCAGGTAATATTCAGCCCCTATAGCTATCACAAACGCAGCAAATCCCCATTTGAATCCTTTCAACAATGCACCAGCAAAGGAAACATTGTTTGCAAAGCCACCCATGTATCTCCAAGCTTCATTGCTAGAGGAAAAAAAGGGAAAAATCATAATCACACGTGACTTATATACATTGAGTAAAATATATTTAATTTTCATCTTTTTAATAGACTTAAATGCAACCTTATATAAGATAATCTAAGTGGACCACAATAGAAATCTTTCTGTGGCATAAGATAATTAGGTCTATATGCCCACATTTCACATATAAAATACAAGAAAAAATACTTGATGGTTTCACATTTCAGTCATAATACTCAGGATTTTACAGAATTCTCAAATGCAAGACTCACTTTGGCCTATCCATCACAGGTCAGTGGTGTGGCTTTGCTCATATTAATCCTTACAGCATCATGGAAAGAGGAAATTAGAGACTTGGGTATTAACCTTTGCTCTGACACTTATATTAGATTCACAACCTTTTGGGCAAGTTACTTAACCTGTCAGGGCTGCTTCCTCTTCTACTCAGTGATGATTACTATCTACCTTAGAGTGTTATTATAAAGATTAAACAGGGTAATGTATAATCTATTTTGGCACAGAAAGTATGTAACACTTGATATTATTATTACTATTCAAGAGGATCATGGCTTTTCCCTGTCATAGCCGCCTAAACTTTAGAAGACTGATTTCCTGGGGCCGGCCCTGTGGCATAGCCATGAAGTGCACGCACTCTGAGGCTGGCGGCCCTGGTTTGGATCCCAGGTGTGCACCGATGCACGGCTTGTGGGGCCATGCTGTGGTGGCGTCCCATATAAAGTAGAGGAAGATCGGCACCAATGTTAGCTCAGGGCTGATCTTCCTCACAAAAAAAAAAAAAAAAAAAGAAGGCTGATTTCCTGTTCTGGCAATCTTTCTTCTGAATTTCCTGAACAGAAGTCAGCGAGCTCTAGTGAAAAAAGTCTTCTGTCACAGGTAAGGATAAGTGAGTAGAAAAAATCATGTTATGAAGAACAAAAAACACTTACCTCTAAAAATCTGACTAACTAGAAAATATGAGAGCTAATCAAATCTAATTTAGAAATCAAAACCAAAGACTTAAGAAGAAAACTACAGAGTAATACCCCTCATGAAAATAGATGCAAATATTCTTTTTTTTTTAATTTTTAATTTATTTATTTTTCCCCCAAAGCCCCAGTAGATAGTTGTATGTCATAGCTGCACATCCTTCTAGTTGCTGTATGTGGGACGTGGCCTCAGCATGGCCAGAGAAGCGGTGTGTCGGTGCGTGCCCGGGATCCGAACCCGGGATGCCAGCAGCAGAGCACGCGCACTTAACCGCTAAGCCACGGGGCTGGCCCTATGCAAATATTCTTAACAAAACTTTAGAAAATTGAACCCAGCAATATACGAAAAGGATAATATATCATGAAGTAGGGTTTACCTCAGGAATGCAAGATTGGTTTAATATCTGAAGATCAATAAAAGTAATTTGACACAAACTATGTGAGCATCTCAACAAATGCAGAAAAAGCATTAAACAAAATTCAATACCCATTAATAAAAATAACAAGAATAGTAACTCACAGTAACCTAGCAATAGAAGAGAAATTCAACTTGATGAAGGGCATCTATGACCACCCTACAACTAACATTATACTTAGTGGTGAAAGACTGAATGCTTTCCTCCAGTTAGGAACAAAGCAAAGATGTCCACTTACACCACTTTTATTCAACATTATACTAGCAGTGTTAGCCAGTGTGATAATGCAAGAAAAAGATATAAAAGTTTATAGATTTAAAAGGAAGAAATAACTGTCTTTGGAGACAAAATGATCATCTATGAAGTAAACTCTAAGGAATCTGTAAAAAAAAATCTGCTAGAACTAAAAAGTGAATGTAGCAAGAAAACAGGATACAAAGTCAATATATAAAAATCAATTGTATTTTTATTTATTAGCAATGAACAATTGGAAATTAAAGTTTAAAAATACCATTTACGGGCCGGCCCCGTGGCTTAGCAGTTAAGTGCCCGCACTCCGCTACTGGCGGCCCGGGTTCGGATCCCGGGTGTGCACCTATGCACCACTTCTCCGGCCATGCTGAGGCCGCGTCCCACATACAGCAACTAGAAGGATGTGCAACTACGACATACAACTATCTACTGGGGCTTTGGGGAAAAAAAGGAGGAGGATTGGCAATAGATGTTAGCTCAGAGCCGGTCTTCCTCAGCAAAAAGAGGAGGATTAGCATGGATGTTAGCTCAGGGCTGATCTTCCTCACAAAAAAAATAATGATAAATAAATAAAAGATAAATAAAAAAAAATATAGAGAGAACACTTATAATTCAATAAAAGATGACAAATACCCTGGTAAACAAAATGAGCAAAAGATCTGAATAGACGCTGTACCGAAGAAAATATACAAATGACAAATAAGCACACGAAAAGATTCTAATGAGCATAGTTTTCGTGGAAATGCAAATTACAACCACAAAGAGATATTACTATCACATTCGCTAGAATGGCTAAAATTAAAAGACTGATAATACCAGGTGTTAATGAAGACATTGAGCAATTGAAATTCTCATACATTGCTGGTGGGAATGCAAAATGGTACAGCCACTTTGGAAAACAGTTTGGCAGTTTTTCGTGAAAATAACCATACACTTATCATACAATCCAGAAATCCCACTCTTAGGAGTACCCAAGAGTAATGAAAACATATGTTCTGGGGCTGGCCCCGTGGCTTAGCGGTTAAGTGTGCGCGCTCCGCTACTGGCGGCCTGGGGTTCGGATCCCGGGCATGCACCGACGCACCACTTCTCCGGCCATGCTGAGGCCGCATCCCACATACAGCAACTAGAAGGATGCGCAACTATGACATACAACTATCTCCTGGGGCTTTGGGGGAAAAAAAAAAGGAGGAGGACTGGCAATAGATGTTAGCTCAGAGCCGGTCTTCCTCAGCAAAAAGAGGAGGATTACCATGGATGTTAGCTCACGGCTGATCTTCCTCAAAAAAAAAAAAAAAAAAAAAAGAAAACATATGTTCACAAAGAGTTGTACTTGAATGGTTATAACCACTGTACTCATAATAGGCAAAAACTGGAAACAACCCAAATGGCCATCAACTGGTGAACAGTAAACAAATTGAGATATATGCATACAATGGAGTACTACTTAGCAATAAAAAAGGAAGAAACTATGGATATAAGTTAACAATGTGCATAAGTCTCAAAAGCATTATGCTAAGTGAAAACAGCCAGAACAAAAGGCCACATATTGTATAATTCCAACTGTATAAAATTGGAGAAAAGGCAAAACTATAGAGACAGAAAGCAGATCAATAGTTGCTGGGAGCCAGGAGTAGGATAACCCTGAGTGCAAAGGGGCATGAGGGAACTTTTCAGGATGATAGAAATATTCTGTATCATGACTGTCATGGTGGTCACATAATTGCATACATTTGTCAAAATTCATGGAATTATCTACTTAAAATGGGTGAATTTTACTCTATGTAAATGATACTTCAGTAAAGATGATTTAAAAACTCTAATGTAAAAAGCCATTTTCAATGATTTTTAATAGAGAAAACATTGAAAAGGAACATAGATACTTATGCTTTATGAAAAATTCTATCTAAATTACTTAATTATTCTTACCGGCCCCATGGATCCCTTAACCCTCGTGCAGCCAGCTTTTCCTGGACAGTTTCTAATGGTGTCCCTTCTATCTTCCATTGTTTATAATCTGGAAGTTCCATTTTACCATGACCATGTTCATGTTCGTGTCCATGGGCCATGTCTATAGGAAAAGATTAACATAAAGGGAAAATATGCAGATAGTAGATATCAAATACTAAGTAAACTAATACAAATTTACTATTTATGTTTTAAGATAAAACATTTGATGTTTTAAAGAGAGAGTCCAATATAAATACTTGAAAATTCTGAGTTAAGAGATTTTATAAAAGTGTCTTATTACATAATAGTATATGTTCACAGTCAGGAAATACACATATACAAAATGTAAAAAGAAAAATAATCAGTAATCCCACCACTAAGAGATAACCATTTACTACTTGGTTCCTTTTTTTTTTTTTTGTGAGGAAGACCAGCCCTGAGCTAACATCCAATGCCAATCCTCCTCTTTTTTGCTGAGGAAGACTAGCCCTGGGCTAACATCCCTGCTCATCTTCCTCTACTTTATATGGGATGCCGCCACAGCATGGCTTAACAAGCAGTGCGTCGGTGTCGGAACCGGCGAATCCCGGGCTGCCACAGCGGAGCTCGCGCACTTAACGGGCTTGCGCCACCGGGCCGGCCCCAGTTCCTTTCATTATAATAAGAGCAAACGTTGATTGCGCCCCATGTGCCAGGTGCACTATACTAAAGTGCTTTACATGTATTAACTGCGTTACTCTTAAAGCAACTGTTTGAACTTAAATTATGATTGTTATCTCCATTTTACAGACGAAAACAATGAGGCTCCAGGCAGCTAAGTAACTTTCTGAAGGTAACAAAAACAGTAAATGTACAGTTGGGTTTTGAACCCTGTGGTTTGGTTGCAGAGCCCTTGCTCCTAACTTCTAAGCAATGCTGTTTCCTTCTTTTTAGTCCTTTCATAATGCATAAATATGCACAACAAAAATGTTGTACAGTTTTGTTACCTGCTTTCCCCAGAAGATTCTTTTAAAATGCAGTATTATTGTTTAAATACATATGATCACATGAACTTTTTCTTTTTTTAACTTTTTTTAATTTATTTACTTTCCCCCCAAAGCCCCAGTAGATAGTTGTGTGTCATAGCTGCACATCCTTCTAGTTGCTGTATGTGGGACGCAGCCTCAGCATGGCCGGAGAAGCGGTGCGTTGGTGCGCACCTGGGATCTGAACCCCCGGCCGCCAGCAGCGGAGCGCGCGCACTTAACCGATAAGGCAGGGGCCGGCCCTGTTTATTTAATTTTAATTAATCTGAATTTCAAAACAGATTCTCAAATCAGTTATTGGAAAATTTTAAAGTGTTTGAAACAATTTGGGCACACAAATTTACTTTTTTAACTGTAAATTTTATGAAATATAAACACAGATTAAGTGTTTATATTTATTAAAACTCAGATACATATTCTGTAAATGAAAAATACATCAATTTTGAAGACAGTATGAAGAAAATGTAAAATATTTCCTTAACTTTTAATACTGATTACATCTTGAAATGATATTTTGAATATACTAAGTTAGATGAAATATATTATTAAATTAATTTTTTAAATGTTTTTAATATGGCTAAGAATGCATCATAGAAGGAAAAGTTCAAGTGAAACAAGCGAATACTTGTCGCAAGTCATGATAGTGGTTACCTCTTCGTGGAGATGGAATCACAGAAACACACGGGAAGCCACTAAGGCAGTGTTTTTCAACCTGTTTTTAATTATTGTACCCCAAAGGAGCTTTTCTAGACTTTTTTTTCCTAATCATGTTCTCACCGCGCCCCCCCCACCATGAAATTTTAATAGCAGATACACGTATACCTGTTTACGTACTGCGGCTCTTTGGAGGGCACAGACCACTGTGTTATCCAAGATGTCTTCCGTCCCCCCTCCCGGGCCCCAGAACCACTTTTCACCGCCCTGAAGGGTGATCCCTCTGTCGAGAACACATATTCTATTACTGGCAATGCTTTATTTCCCAACCCGAAGGGTGGTTACACAAGTGTTTGCTTAATTATAATTCTTTAAAATGTACTTATGTTTTGTACACCCTTCTGTTCCGCGCACTTCACAATAAGAACTAAAATTAGACAAAGTGACAAATCATGCCAAGGACTCAGCATCGGCTGTTTATTTCAGCGTCAGAGCTGTTCCAACAGGAACGGCAAGGAAATCAGTTCGACAGAGAACGAACGTGTCATCACGAAATTTTAAAAGCTCCCTGCCTACGTCTGGCGCGAACCCGCAGGCCTGGCGGGGGTCGACCTCCCCTGAGCCGGCCGGCTGCAGCACAGGGGAGGTGCCGGCCTGTTTTCTCCAAGAAGGGAACGAAAGGGTAACGCCACTCACACGACACGTAATTTTACGGTTTACCCAGGACTTTGACGTGTATACCCGGACCTCCCCTCACTTCTCAAGTTAGGAATACCACGAGAGCCTTAGAAAATAAAAGACAGTGACCTCGATCCCTGTTAGCGTCCTCACCAGTCCCCGCACCCACGTACGTGCAACTTAAAAACAGTAACCACTCTAAAAATGGATGTGACTTTGTGCCCTGCTTTCTTCCCTTTAACATCGTGTCATTAACATTCATACCAGAAAAACCTTACTTAAAACTATACCTGCTTGTGAGACAGACAGCACTGTTACTGCTATTTTACAACTTTCGATGTGGGGGCTGTTCTGCCGTCATCCGACCCAAAGGTACACAGAGCACGGGGCGGAGGGCGCCGCGGGGCCCGAGGAGGAGAAGGGCGTCTGGACTCAAGCACAGGGTGCTCACGGCGTCCTCCACGGCCAGCCCTCGCGGCCCCGGACTCCGAGTTCTCTGCCGCCGGTCCTTCGCGCTCCTGCCCTCCTGAGCCACACACCCTCATCTTCCTTCTCCATCTAGTCTCTCCCTCGCTACAGGCCCCAGCATAGAGCCGCATTCTTATTCCCAAAGATCTCCCGCCAGTTTTCTACTTTACCTGACAGCACTCTGACCTCTCAGGACACTCAATGTTCAACCCGGCAGCCGGAGCCAACCGGAAACGGAAGCTGTCGCCTCGAGTACCTTACGGCAGGAAAGCAGAGAAGCCACGTAACGTTCCGGGACTGGGTCACAGATTCCTGGACCAGGTGGAGGTGACATGAAGGAGGCTGGGAGTCGGCATTTTTTCCGCACATCTGTGCCTCTGTAGTCTGACTGAGGGAAGACAAGTTGTGGAGGGCAGAAGGCCGGGGAAGCGACGATGTCTGCCTTGCTCGGACACCGGAAGCTTTAGAGCCTGCACAGAGGGGAGGGCCGCGGAGAGGCTGCAGCCAGTAGGCGAGGCTGTTGTTGGGGCGTGGGCTCGCCCAATGGGAGGGCGGGTTGTTGCGCTGCAGTTGGCAGGCTGCTGCGGGAGGCGGTGGCGGTAAGAAGCCGGAGGCAGCGAGGTGACAGGTAGGCGGCGGCGCTGTGTTTGGGGGACGCAGAGTGCTAGGTCAGGAGGGGTTTCCTCCTTCCCGGGCTGCGGGAGCTCTAGAGGGGCTCTGACGAGGCTGGGCCGCGAAGGCGGTAGCCGAGTGTCGGCGGTTCCGGAACCTCTCGTCCACCAGGTCGCAGCTTGGGAGGGTCGTGAGGAGGAGAAGGCAGCTGGGGCGGGTGGAGGCTGAGCCCTGGGGGCCTGGGGCGTGGGGGGCTGCGGTGGCGCCGGCGGAGAGAGGAGGGGGGAGCACGACGGCGCCGTGAGGGCTGGAGGAATTCCCTGGACGGAGCCCCGAGAGAGGAGGACGCGGCACTGCAGGCACCTGCGAGAGACCCCGGGGGTTGCTTCTTGGGGCGTTTTCTTGGGGTGAGCAGGGGGAGCGGAGAGGGAAGATATTTCCTGGCCGTAGGATCCTTGAAACTCTTTGTGGCTAGCCATTATGTAATCCTTGGCTATTTACCCGAACAACTAGGTTGTCCCCCCTGGAAGAGGAGGTCTTGCAACCAATTGGTGTGTCAGAGTAGTTTCTTCGTTGGTTTGAGTGTTTTCTCCCCCGGCAGGCTCTGTGGGCGAAGGAGCATGAAGGACAGAGTAGTCACGAAGAGCTCATCCCAAATATGGACTTGGGTTGAGAGAGATGTTAGTTTGAGATGAGCGTGGCCAGTTCACGTTTTGTAATTCACGAATTTATTTGTTTTGAGGGTCAAGGCTGATTACAAATACTTTTTTTTTTTTTTGATCTTCAGGAAAGTGGAGAGCCTCAAAAATTTATTGTAGGAGGTAAGTGCAAGTTGGAAAATGAGTAGAAAATTAGTTGTCGTCCCCTGCCCCCCCCCCCGCCCCCAGTCATTGTGGATATTAGAAACTGAAAATAAGGTGGTGGTCTGAATTGGGGGGGGGGGGAGTCAACTTTTAAGTAATTTGCTCTGTAAGTCTGAGAAAGTATTTATGAATTATTTATTTCTTAGGTTTAAAAAGTATGCTCTTTGGATCTCTCCGACTGAGGTAAAATATATTTACAGACATAACTGTAAATTATCATTTTTTTCTAAATTTTTATAATTCATTGCACAATGAAATGTAGAATTAAAATAGGAATTCCGTTCAGTATATGTTATGGAAGGACAAGCTACATTAAAAACTTGATTTTGTAGCTTGCTAGAAAACAGTTTTTTTTATTTATTATTATTTTTTGTGAGGAAGATCAGCCCTGAGCTAACATCCATGCTAATCCTCCTCTTTTTGCTGAGGAAGACCGGCTCTGAGCTAACATCTACCGCCAATTCTCCCCCCCCCCCAAAGCCCCAGTAGATAGTTGCATGTCATAGCTGCACATCCTTCTAGTTGCTGTACGTGGGATGCGGCCTCAGCATGGCTGGAGAAGCGGTGCGTTCGTGCGCGCCCGGGATCTGAACCCAGGCCGCCAGTAGCGGAGTGCGCGCACTTAACCGCTAAGCCACGGGCCAGCCCTAGAAAACAGTTTTAAAAGAAGCATTATAAATTGCTAAAACATAAGCTGATTGAAATGTTGCCTTTAGCTTAGACGATAAGGACTAATGTAGTATTAGCAAGTGTATAATTTTCCTGAGCTTATTTTAATACTGCATGTCAGAAAACCTTCCTAAGATGTGATTTTTTTCTATTAATGATAATTTATATTAGTATATCCCAGAACCTGCATCACAAACTCATTTTTTTCTCTAAATATTCTTTGGTAAAGAGAGGTAGATCGCGTTAGCATTTGTTAGTTCCGAAATGTGTTAAGAGTACTGAGATATTTATCAATGCTTCAGATAAAAATTTTGATACTTGGTGTTTCATTCTTTCTTTTTATTTTTGTGCAAGAATAATACTATCTCAGTCATAAAGAATACTTCTGCTTCTATTTTAGATGCAATTCTATAGTGTGAGTACCTGTGAACAAATCTCTGCTTTCGTGCAGGGTGGTGTGTGTGTGTCTCTGCCTGTCTCTATGTGTGTATGTATGTTTCTTCTTATATAACCAGCCTACTAGAGCTGTCTTAGAGAACTAATGGCTGATTTTGAATGGCCAGTAGGTGTCATTGTAGAATTCGGTGAAGTTGAACATTGAGCAGGAAATTACCAAGTGATTTAAGAAACACTAGTCCAAATTAGAATATAATAATAATTGGCTGATTACTTATACATCATTAGAAGCCATCTTTTCTGATACGTTTCAGTATTGGAGCTGTTTATAAGGAATTTGAAACAACAGCTGTAAAGAAGTGTAATTGTTTGCTCTAAAATGGACTTTGAAAGCTTGTTTTTAATCCGACTCTTAAGTTGTCTTGACATGCATATGGGTTTAGGTTTGTTTGATTATTTTTAATACACAGTTTTGGCATCATATAGTAGTTTATTGAGTTCTAGAATGATTAAGATTTTCAGCTTGACTGAGCTTTATAATAGAAAAACCAATGCTACATAATGAAAAACTAAAATGATAAAATATGGGCAGAAGGTCTCCAAACAAGTTATCAGCCACACAAAATAATACTTTGTTATTGTTCTTTCAATTCAAGAACAGGGGAATTTTTGTCTTCCTTTTTCTGTGACTTCTTAGTTTTTTTGATGTCCAAAATAGCTTCTTTTTGCTTTTTTATCTGGGTAGTAGACTGTGCTTTTCTCCGGATGATGAGCTGACCATTTGTCATTGTCCAAACTGTAATTTAATGGATTCTGATGGGAGCTGGCACAGAAAGCTCTGAAGGTGGCTCACAGCCGCTTACCTGCAGAGCCTTCTACTGAGCTCTTGTCACTCTGTAGCTCTTTTCCTTTTGCCTGCTGTAATACAGTGTTAAAAAATAGAGTTGGACCATAATTCAGGAATTCTCCATGAAAGTGGAGAGTTACATATATATCAGAATAATCTAGGAGTTAAAAAAAAAAAGACACACACACATATCCATTATATCATCTCCCCTTCCCTTCAGAATATTTGTGGTAGGGGGAATATGAAGGGAGGTAGATATATTTTGAAGAAAAAAAAAAATCCCCTATGTGAAGTGGTTCACCACTGGCTTCCGCTTTAGAATCATTGATCTAGTTAAAGGCTCTCACACTTGTGTGAACCAGTAACAGTAGTTTTAGCTTGAGAAAAAGGGCTGCCAAATCTACCAATATTTTTATAGCTCAATAAATTTTCATCATTGAATGTCATAGCTGGGATAAATTTTCTAGCCAGGAGCTAAAGTTGCCAGAAATAAAAATTGTGCTGAATGTTTTGGTTTGGATTAGTTTTTTTCTTGGCACTTAGCTGCTTTCCATAAACCAGGCTAATTTCTTTCTTGATTCAGACCTGCTTTACACAGATATTTACTCATATCTTGTTCTCTTAATGTCTCTGAAAGCTATCTAGTTCTAGAATTGGAAAATAAGAATTGGAGGTTTTCTTGATAAGAGGTCTTTTTGCAACATTGCTATGATATGATGAAGATGTACATTTATCTTTTGTGTAAACATTCACTCAATAATACAAATTAAAACTTGGAATTGTGAACGTGGTGACTTTGACACGGGTCCTGTTTGGAAATTCATGGTTCGTCTTTATGAAATCTAGACTTTCTGTTTGGTTGTCTGTCTGCCATGGAGACAAGTATGAGAAAAAGTAAATGGGTAGACTTTAATTTTGGAGAAAGTAGTAAAATCTCAATTATGTAATATATTAAGAGCTGTCGCTTTGATTTTTTATAGAAATATAGTTCTTTCTAGGTTTGAAATATAACTGCAAAAATGTAGTCATATAGTAAGTGGCACTAATTTGTTGAATGGCAAAGCATGGGCTACAAAATAGTTAATTTTGTTCTTTTTTTTTTTTTTTTAAAGATTTTTTTTTTTCTTTTTTTTCCCCCCAAAGCCGCAGTAGATAGTTGTATGTCATAGGTTCACATCCTTCTAGTTGCTGTACGTGGGACTCGGCCTCGCGTTGTACGGAGAAGTGGTGCCTCGGGGCGCGCCTGGGATCCGAACCCGGGCCGCCAGCATCAGAGCGCGCGCACTTAACCGCTAAGCCACAGAGCCGGCCCATTAATTTTGTTCTTTTGTAAAACACTGAACTCCAAAAAATGTTGGAATCAAATTTATCACCTTTGGCATTATGGATCCTTGACTTTTTTTTAATTGAGGTATAATTGACATAATCCTTGACTCTTGATAGAGCTTGATTCTTAATCAGTATAGACTATTGTTAGCTACTAAGATTTGTCAATGTATCTCCTTAAATTCCTTTTCCCATATATTTTTTGAAAAATGGGTGGAGGGAGTTGGATGCTGAGTGAGGAGTGAAATTTATGCTTTTTGCATATTCTTTTATATTGAGGCTTACATTTTTTTTTTTACTGGACTTTATTTTTTAGAGAAGTTTTAGGTTCACAGGAAAATTGAGTGGAAGGTACAGAGATTTCTCATGTATCCCTCCCCCATACATAGCTTTCCCCATTATCCATATTCTCCACAGAGTGGTACATTTGTTATAATTGATGAACCTGCATTGACACATCATTATCGCCCACAGTCCATAGTTTATATTAGGGTTCAGTCTTGGTGTTGTACATCATATGGGTTTGGACAAATGTATAGTGACATGTATCC